AGGCGCCGCTCACCACCTCCTCCACGGACGAGGGCGGCGCGCGGCGCGACGGCGAGCGCCGCGCCAGCGCCGCTGCCCGCCGCAAGTGATGCCCGCCGCGCCGCTCCTCGATGCTCCCCCCTCTGCCGGCTTCCCCTGCCCGGCGGCGCCGGGCACAAAGCCATAGAGCCGCGGCGAGGCGGGCGCGCCCGCTGGCACCGGGGTCCCATGGGTGCCGGGGTCCCCTCGGTGCAGGGACTGGCTCAGGACTCGGCTCCCGGCAGCGCCAGGGTCCCTGTGCCACTGAGGTCCCCAGGCTTGGAGGTCCTGTTGATACCGGGGTCCCCTTGGCGCAGGGGGCCCAATGGGCACCAGGGTCCCATTGGCACCAGGGTCCCCTTTGGCACGAGGGTCCCATTGGCACCAGGATCCCATCGGCACCAGGATCCCATCGGCACCAGGGTCCCCTTGGCACGAGGGTCCCATCGGCACCAGGATCCCATTGGCACCAGGGTCCCCTTGGCACGAGGGTCCCATTGGCACCAGGGTCCCCTTGGCACGAGGGTCCCGTTGCCATAAGAGTCCCCAAGCTCAGGGGTCCCCTCGGCTCAGGGACCAACTCGGCACCAGAATCCCCGTGGGGGGGGGGTCATTTGATCCCGGGGTCCCCTTGGGCCCCCCTGGGGTCCCACTTGCCCCCATGTCCCTTTTGGCACCTTAGAATAACTTGGCCCCGGGATCCCTTTGGGCACTGGGGTCCCCATGGGCACTGGGGGGGGTCACTTGGCCTTGGGTTCCCCATCCAGGCGTACCCAGCCCCCCCAGCATGCCCCCCCCCCCAGCTGCCCCCCAGGGGCAGCACTTGTGGGGCACGCTTTCTATTTGTAAAGATTTTATCAAAAACCAGGAAAATAACCAAAAAAAGAGCCTCACCCCTAACCCCCCGCCCCGTCCTGAGCACGTGTGCCCCCCCCGCCCCAGACCCCCCCCCAGCGGGGGGGTGAGCGCCGCGCTGTGACTGTATAAATGTAATAACCCCCCGCGCTGACCCCGCGGCCCCCGCGCCCCCCAATAAAGGAGCAGGACGGGCCCGTGTGGCCAACGACCAGGGTGCCCGGGGAGGGGGGGCTGGCTTTCGGGGTGGCGGGGGGTCCATGGGGCTGGGAAGGGTCCCGAGGGGCCCATGGGGGGCACGTGGGGCCGGGGAGGGTCATGGGGAGGGTCCATGGAGGGGGAGTCCAAGGGGTTGGGGGGTCTATGGGTCT